TAATTTGGATTTAATTTTTTGACATATTTTTCTTTCAGCTCCTTTGCTATTTAACTCCTCCTGCTGATGGCTAGATAATTTCTGTGCTTTGCCATCTGTCCTACGCATTTGACAATTCCCTAGTGAGGTCCTGGTAACTTTTCCTGGTGACTATTGTTTTTGCTGTGCTCACCTAAGGAAACAGGCTCATGCAGTCCTGTTGTTCTCCTGCCTGAAAGACTGACTGTGCTACCTTAATGGTGTTTGAACCTGTTGGCCAATGTCAAACAGACTTAACAGACTGGTAGGGCTCTTGGAGAGACTTGGTTCTTAAAGGATTGTAAAAATGAGCAGGTGAGTAAAAATGCTAACTGTGCCCTCTGCAGAGGAGAAGAGTGGAAATGTGTTACACTCCACCTTACACACAGTGAATCTAGGTAGGGTCATCCTGTTGTGCCGTATCTGCTGTAGTAAAAGCTGTAGTCAGAGCTCCTTCGTCCTTAGGCAATGATGAATCCATCCACAACGTGCAAACCCACAAGGAAAAGAGCATCCTTAGTTCCCCTGTCCTTTGAAGTCTTCTCCAGGCTTACTCCTGGGCATGGGAGCACACCAACTGGACACTGATTTGAGGCTTGCTATTTATTAGAAAAATGTCAGACATATTCCATTATGTGAAATGGTTTCCCTGGACATGTCATAGCTCTTGTTGGCTTTGCTGTGGAGTCAGGTAACACCAAGTTCAAAGAGGCAGGAGTCTTTGCAGCAGCAAATGACACCCAAGTCCTGGCAGGCTGAACACTGGGTACTTGAAATGGTAAAGAAGGTGCTTGTTCAGTAGTAGCCTGTGATTTTTCACAGCTACTGCCAAAAGCCATCTCACCTTTTCCTGGATTCTGGACACAAATGTATTTTGTCTTATTAAGAAACACAGTGCAAAAGGACTTTGTAACACCTGTTGTGATTCAATCCCTCCTCAAAACCAGTAAGAAAGGTTGCTGTTATATACTAATCTGCACAGCATTACAGCAGGTCAAAAGGGTTGTTGTGGCAGAGCTTGTTAAGAGTGAAAAGTTGGATTGATGGTTGCTGTGTATGGACACGGATAAAGCAGAGGCTGTTATTGAATCTACCAGGGCCCGGGACAGCAGCACAGTTGTGATGGGATCCTGCAAAACCAGCTTTGCTGCTGAGGCTGTAAACTTCCAGGTTTACTGAACTGAGATAATTTGCGAAGGAATGTTCTGTGTGTATCTGAAAGGGGAGTCATGTTTTGGCTGAAAACTAGAAATGGGTTTGGGATGGTGGTAGCAGTGAGTCCTGTCAGACTGGGTCAGTGCTCCATGAACATAAACTTCTTCCTGTAATCTTTTATTTTTACATTCAATGTTTCTTTTACATGTATGTTAATACCTCTTTTCATGTCTGTAGTTCAAGTATTTAGTATATAAGTAGCTTCCAGGTGTCTCATTTGGTAACTGCAGTGGGCATCACAATGTGTACTAGGAGGTATGGCTATAAAACTGTGAATGTTGTTCAAACACCCATATTGGCATCATTTCCGCTGACGGTCCTAGTCCTATCCTTGGTTCATAGCAGTGCAAAACAGAGATCTCAGAAATTAGTTTGGAGATGGCAGGCTGCTTCTGCGGTTGGTGTGTGGTATGGGAGACATGGGGATGCATTTTGGGAACAAAAGGAGCTGTCTTCAGGCATGTCTGACCGAAGTGTGTTGCTCCTTGTAAAGTGTTTGTGCTCATTGTGTACCTGGGGTGAGTGTGTGTCCTGTGCCTACTTATCTCTTGGTTTCATGGAAATACCTAAGTACATGTAGGAAATACTAGCACGTTGTACACGTTTGTGGATGAAAGGCAAGTTGTACAAAATGTGCTATTGGCAGCCCTGCAAATGACAGAAAAGTGTAAAAACCACAGGAGACTTTTCACATCCACCTGTCCAGTGATGACTTTGAGGATTTATATGAATGTTTTGCGTTCTAATTCATGAAAGCCCCAAATTTAGTTATAAATTTACTTTGGAGGAATCATTTATGAAAACTTTAGGATTTTCTGGCTAAAACATTGTTTAAAACTTAAATGCTTAGAAGGATTTTGATTGTCTTGTTTTGAAAACATGAGTGTGAAAGGTGGGAAGGGAAGGATGCTCTTCCCAGTTTCCAGCATGAGGAAGTGGTTATCTAGTCCTTTGTTGCTGTAATTGCTTAGTTTCTGTGGTTACAAGTCCTGCAATTCAAGCTGTCCTCAGTGCTGCAATGGTCTCTATAGAAGAGCTGATCTTACATTCCATGTGGGTTACAATGCAGCAAGCTGAGGCTGTAATTCTGAATTTCTTGCGTCTTTCAGGTTTTAATTTGGCTTCATGTTATTTGCAGAATTTTTTTTTTTGTGATTTAATTGAGTAGTCAGTGTGAATTTTGTGGTGTTCATGTGCATGCAAGGGAGAAGGAGATATTTCTAAGTGTTCAGTGTTCAGATGGACATAAACAGGTGGATTTCCAGCAGAGACATTTGCATTTGAAAACCTGCTCTAAACGGGCTGGGCTTTCCCAAGAGAAGCAGCACCAGCAGTGAAACGCAGGGATCGATCAGCATAGAATTGTGTGAGCATTTGATGGGCAAAATGTTGTGGTATAAAGACAGGGCCCAAGAATAAGGTCTTTGTGGCTTTGTTTCATTCCTGAAAACTGTGACTGAGAGGCTTTTATCATTTAAAAAAAAAAATTAATCAGCCACATCAGCTAACCTGGAAAATATCACAAGATCCTTTGCAACATTGCAAGTGCTGTTTCTTTAATCCAATTTTGATACTAAAAAAAAAAAAATAAATAAAACATGGTTTTCATTTGTCTGTTTATATTTCACCAACTCTGGAAGTAAAGCAATATCTGAACCGGTCCTTTCAGTCGCAGAGCTGAAAGCATGTAATTTAGCGTACGTAATGATAAACTCTTTCTTTCAAGCAGCTCGCGTTTGCCGTTTTCTTTCTTTCCTAATTTTAACTAAGGAAAACATTCCCTGACTTATCACAACACTTCTGTTATATGCCCCGTTTTTCGGGCCAAGTTCCTTATGGTATTTGGAGTTTATTTTAATTCTTAATCAAATGAACTGTCCAAGAAATTCATCTGTAAAAACATCTATAATAAATGTTCAAATACACACCAATGGGGACACCTGGTGGAGAAACTCCGAGTTGCCCAGGACACCCTGCGTCAAACCCACGAGTGGGGGAGCATGAGTTAGCTCCTCAGTGAGATGACTGCGAGTATTTTTAACCACAGCAGCTGTGAGATAACTCTCCTTGGTCTCCCTGCCTGCCTCTGATGGCTCCCTCGAAGCATCCTGCACTTGCTGCTGACCAAGAGTATGTGCACGCGGTCATGGTGGTGGGGATGCACGGTGAGCAGCGTGCAAGCACCCGATTCCTTGGGGTCTGTTGTTTAATGTGACTGAGGGCAAAGCTGCAATTACTGGCAAATGCTGTTTCTCTCTTGCCACAGCAGAAACTGCCATGTTTACAGATTCTCAGATAAGTCCTGTAGATACTTAAGAGATGTCCTGTTGACATGTGTTTGGAAATTGATGTGGGAAGGTTAGGTGAAGATTCAGGACCACATCTACTTGTAGCTGTAGGGCAGAGGAGTACAGTCTTCTGAACTGGATCCTGCTCTGTAGCATATGAGATGCTCCAGTTTCAGCACCAACTCAAGTAACCAGTAACATTTTCCATTCTCCAGTGGAAGTCCTAGTCCTCCTCCAGTGAGCAAAACCTCCCTTCCCACCCTTCTGTAAGGGTGGCCTTGGGAGAGACCATGGGGAGGACAGCAGCCCAGACTGGCTTCATCAGTGAGCTTGGTCAGGGAGAGGGGCACCATGCTTGCCACTTGACTTTGGAAGCAGGCAGGCAGTACTTGGTTCATCCCTGGGGCACTACACCTGTGTCAGGGGGAAAAATATAGATTCCAGGCTGTTTTATTTGTATGTGCTAAAAAGCTCTACCTGGAGTGGGACAGGCACAAGACCCAAGGATAAGGCAGTCAGCTAGGCAGCATTATTGCACACATGCTCTAGGAAATGTGTGCAATAATGGTGCTTTAATTGGTGTGAAAATGGTCATGGTTGGTTGGTTGGTTTACTTCTAGCTCACTCAGAAAGCAAGGATTAGCCTCTCCTGTGATGGGACAGCAACATACAGATGGGTTCTGGTGTGCCTTCTGGCATGCACTAGCTGTGGAACATGGGATTAACTGGGGGTTTTGTCTTTCTAAGTAGGAGAGGAGAAGAAAGGAATGCTTACAGTTGTGAAGAGGGAAGGATAATTTCTGGCTCTTTGTTTCAATGCAGACTATACTGACATGAAGTGAAATTTGTAGCCTACTGGTTTTCTCATTGTTTGGGAAAGAAGGAACATATTAATTTTAATTCTGTACCAGAGCCACCAGACAATTGGGAGAGAAAGTGTCTTTGACTTAGACCATCACAAGTTGGGCAGCAGACTGTGGATTTTTATTAGATACAGCAAAGTATTACTTGTGTTTAAATAGCATTTCAGAATCTTTTCTCTGCGGCAAATCAGAGCTGCAAATTAAGTATGAATCATTGTCCCATAGGCATCCAGTATGGCCTGCTGACTCTGCGCCCTCTCACAAAGGGAGACCAATAGTAAATGAGAGAGAAGCTAATTTTATTTGTTGGTTTCCCTGTGTTGGGATTAATATCAAAGCAGGACACCATTTTTTGCCACAGGATTCGAGAGGGCAATTTTAAAGTCAGTGCTTGAATTTAGATGGCTCAATGAGATACTTTTACTGCTTCAGGTGTTTGAGCTGAGTCAGAGACTGAGCAGAACTGGCTGGAGAAAGTCACTGTGATTAGCTACCAGCAACTCACGTGGTCCAGACCAGAGGTCCCTGCCTTACAGGGGTCAGGAGCAGATGCTAACAGGTGGAATATTGTAGCAGACTTTACAGACTAAATGTTTCTTGTTTCTCTTCCTTGCAGAAAACACCTTCTGCAGCGGCGACCATGTATCATGGCACAACCCGTTGGACAATAGTGAATCTAGAATCCAGCATATGTTACTGACAGAAGATCCTCAGATGCAGCCAGTGCAGACTCCTTTTGGGGTTGTTACTTTCCTACAGGTACGACCCAACGATGGTGGCTCTGACTGTCACCTCCTGGATGTGGAATGTGGCTAACATTACATTTCATTTAGCTTTGCTAAGTCAGATGCTTACTGTCCCATCTTGAACTTTTCTTTCTTACTTGATTACTGTGGATCTCATTGTTGAGTTGTTACTCTGGACATACTCAATAAGCATTTTACCAGGACTGAGCAATGGCACACTTGGTTCTCAAGACAGAGGCCTATCTGATGGAGGGGTTTGCACCCTGCAACAGACCCGGAGCTGAACATTACATTAGTGCTCTGAAATTTCAAACATGAACATAGGGAAAAAGCTGAGAGAAACACTTTTAAAAGGTAATGTAGAGCTAAATTCAAGTTAATTCTCTGGCAGTATCAGTAGGTGATCACTGGTTTGAGCTCCAGGAAAAGAAGAGCTTGGAGCAGGACTCGGAGTTGTTTTAGCATTATTTAATGGCAGAAATGTAGCTTGCAGCACTACCACAAAGATTCTTTAGAGTCTTAAGTGAATTTTTCCTGTATTAATCTACTGTTTAAAATGTTCAGGTTTGCTTTGCGAAAAAACATTTTAAAAAATCCCTTGTGATTTAACACTGCTGTTCAGTGTGGGGAGCTTCCTTGGCCAAACAGGTTCGCTTGCTTTCCGGAAGTCCTTCTCTGTGTCGTCTCTTGGATGTGGGCTGCTTTGGGCATTTTGAAATTGCATAGGGAGTTATTAACCTTTAATGGAAGAGCTGGCATAGTTTATACCAACTGCTGTTTTCTCCCTGCTCTGTGGACAAGCTTCCATCCTGTGGGAAAATCCAAGTGTCTCTATTTTACAATTTAAGTTTCAGGTTGCTCCCATTTGTCATTGGCTGTAGTGGCAGCCTGGAAGGGGAAGCTCCATTACCACAGACTTGCACAAGGCAACGGCTGTGCAAGGGCAAAGGCTTTCCTGGGTTTTCTGAGGTGCCTTAAAAGTCTGTTTTATCAACAAGGAAGAGATGGGTGTGAGATTAGTCAGCGAAAGGTGAGTTGTGGGACCTGGAAGCAGAGATAGAGAGTCAAGCTAAGCAGGGTGATACCTGTCTGACTCCCCAGGTAGTGCTGCATTAGTCTGCATTAGTGCCCAGCTGTTATGGATCAAAGGACAGTCAACTTATTGCATCCTGAGGCTCTTGGCCTCTAATCTCCCATAACACATACGGTTGACTTGTTTTTCCCCTTTGTTTTATGCTTGTTGTTATGGATTTATTTTGACCCACGAGGATAAATGATTGCAAAAAGAAAAGAATGAACACAAAATAATTTCCTGTTTAGAGTCTTGCTGTTTGTATATAATTAGTGAGTGAAGGACCAGGGAGGGGTGTCCTGAAGCGAGGGTGATTCAGGCTGTTCATGGAGGAAGCCTGCGAGATGGGTGGGGATGAAGTGCATCTCCAAGGGCTGGGTCCTGAGAAAGTGAGCTCTGCAAGGGGCAGGGGAGGTAGGGTGTGTGGAACTGGGTTTCCATGCAGATCTTTATCAGTGCAGATAACGCACTTGTGGCAAAGGCACATCCTGCGCTTCTGCTTGCTGCTCTTCAGAACTTAGTTTTCAGTTTTCCTCTTTTCTGATAAAACGTCAGTAGAACAGATTTTGACCAAAAATTCAGTGTTGTTGGAAAAGGCTTAGAGTATCGAGGAAGAAAACAGAAGGCCATGGCTAAAATAGTTTTTTCATCCCAAAGAGTGACTCATAGTGCTCAAAAGCACAAGCCAGCAGTTGGTGGATCGGGAAGATGCTACCTTCCTCTATCAGCTGAAGGGTGTTTCACCCCTTCGTTTGAAGCGGCTGATCTCAGCTGCTGTGAGAGAGACATCTGGTATTGCTCAGTGTGGCAGCTCCCATCCTGAAAAGCAAACACATCCTGCCTTATACAGGAAGGCAGCAGTCTGCAGTTGCCAGCAGGGACGAGAGGATTATGTGATGTGTAAGCAGCTTTACTTTATGGTGCTGGGTAAGATGTAACGAGTCAGCAAACTAAGCTGGTCAAGGATTTATGAAGACCAAAGCATTCCCTTGTGTCAGCGGGTCCCTTGCCTAATTGAAATTGCTGGTACGGTGCAGCATTTGCCCCTAGCAGTTGGCTGACAGAGCAGTGTTTTGCATGTGCTCAGACCCTAACCTGTCCTGTCTTGTGTGGACTAGATTGAAGAGCGAGAACAGACTAGTGGATCTTCGGTAAACCCTGATTTGTCATCAGGCCCTCCTTATAGTTAAGTTCACACATGCCATGCAAGATTAAATGTTACGTGACCAGGGCACTTCACGTGGTAAGTGTAGAGAGAGGGCATAAGGAAATGCAGAATCCCTCTCTTGTCTCAGGCTCCATTTGTCCTCACTCATCTAGTTAGTTTAAAGAAGTGGTGCTTCTCTGTATCTGCACTGTTTGATCCAGGACCGTGTGACACGTTTTCTCTACAGTTCTCGCATGGTTCTCATCCAGTTTAGTATCTCTGTTTTCATTTATTCCAGATTGTTGGGGTTTGCACTGAGGAACTGCACGCAGCTCAGCAGTGGAACGGGCAAGGGATCTTGGAACTGCTTCGGACTGTCCCGGTGTAAGTGCTCATATAGCCCATATAGGGGAGCATTCCTGTAGAGAACAATTCAGTTGTTTATTTTTATTAACAATCTTTAACTTGTTGATGGAACTTATTTAATCCTGTGCTATAGTGAGAGCTGGGAATTCATTGCAAATCTGTTCTCACGCACAGACACTTAAATGGCAAATTAATGCATGTGGAAGTCCACATGTTCAGGGTGAAACAGAATGAGGTCTTGAAAGCTTAATTTCCTTCCTCTTATGCCTGCAGCATTTTCTCATTGGTTATTCCTGAAAGAGCTGGGATAACTGTTACTTGTGACCTTTCTGTGTAGTTCAAAAGAAAGGAAGGAGAGGGTCTGACTTGAAATGCCTAGTAAAGCTTGGGTACTGTCTGAAAGTGAGAAAGTCACTCTCAAACTGGCCCCACTTTTGGTAGGCCAATTTGCAGTTAGAGGAGTGTTCATGCAAATAAAGTTCATTGTTACTTCTCCCATGGCAAAACAGAGATGCTGGGTTAAGGAGGAGATAAGTTTTAAATGTTAAATGTTATGTAGATAGTTTATTTGCTGCCAGGTTGCACCTAAACTTTTTTGGCTTGCAGATGTTTTGTTTAAATATTTTTCTCTTACATTTAGTGGAAGTTACTGCCATGTGACTGTAGCTCAGAAGTTGTTTGATTTTTTTTTTTTTAAACAAAATGGTTCTGAATATGTGTTCCTGGGCACAATAGTACACTCTCTAGAGTCACAATGGCCTTTAATTGATTGATTAGTTGGAAGAGTCCAGCCTTTGCTGCTGGACTTCTTAAACTTGAACTTTTCCCTTTTAGGCACAAGTGCAGACAATTCATGTGAATACCCTAGAGTGGAGTGAATTTGTCCAGCTGCAGGCTTTGTTTCTGGGACCCCAAGACAATAAACACTGCCTGCAGCTCCCTTGATTTCTCTAAGTCAATACAGATATAGCATCCCTCTCCTCAGTCTGTTCTTTTGGCTTTTGTGCTGTGGTACAAGCACCTTTCCAAGGATAAAATTAAACCCAAATGTGCATGATTCAAAGACAAAGCTGCAAATTACTAAGCTGCTGATGTGGAGTCAGGGTAAAAGTCTCTTGCATCCCAATGAGGGACTGAAGCAGGTGGCACCTCTGCAGTCAGTAATTAACAGCTTCTGAAGTAATGTGAAGAAAGAGTGGCTATCAATGCATCTGAAAAGCTATAAAATATTAACTTTTATTGCTCCCACTCCAAGTGCTTTAAGAGACTGTAACACAGACAAGGCCAGAGGAGGGGGCTTTTGACTGCAATAACAAAGTATCTCATGGAAAAAATGGAAAATTTTGTGGCAGTTCCAAAAGACAATTCAGTTGTTACTTCAAATGAAAAGCACCATCTGAGGCTGAGTTCTGCAGTCTGCCTGCACTGTGACCCAAACTACAGTCTCCGAGTAGTTCATCTTCACAGTAATCTGTTTTCTATCACCTTTGTTGGGACATATCTTGACCCTCCTGACTTCTATTGCTAATGAAAACAAAGATTTCCCTGAACCATCTGAGTACTCGACCATTAAGTACCAACTGGACAAAATGTCTATTGTGAGGATATTTATCAGAGCAATAAGCTTCTTATGGTACTGAACATGACTGCTGATCTCAGCAAAAAGTGCAGTCCCATTGGTACCCCGCTGCATCTTTAGATATGTAATAGAGGTATAAATCTTGACCCCATGCCTTGCCCATCTTTCTTAGACCTCAGATACAATGGACTTCTCAGTCCCAATTCAGTTGCCTGTAAGATGAAAACCCAGTTCAGTCTTGCAGCACACAGGGGATAGCCTGCGTCAATCCTGGCTGCTTTGCAGGACTTGGTGGTGCCAGACACTAGGCAGATAACAGATAGGTCCTGGAGGGCTTTCATTGTGTATTTGGGAAATGTAAAGGCCAAAAGCATGCTATGGGATGTATACACAACGTAGAGGGGCTTGAGTCTTGTTTTAGACTCTGTCTTGTGCTTCCTGCCTGCACAGGTCCACTCGGAGGACTCAGTCTGGGGAGTACTAGCTAAAGTCCTTGTGTGGTTCATTGCATTTCTTTCTTTGTAGAGCTGGAGGCCCCTGGTTGATAACAGATATGCGAAGAGGAGAGACGATATTTGAGATTGACCCACAACTGCAAGTATGTCTTTAGTTTATAAAATGTCATGTCTTTTATAGTGGCCAGGGAGAATTGGCTTAATGGTATAAAACAGTTCTGTTATTTTCTGTAGAGGTGCTGTGATCTTCTCAGTGTTTGCAATAATCCCGGAAAAGTCTTAAAGTCTTAGAAAATCCCTTTACACTATAGGAGGTGGTTCAAGAGTGTACATGTCCATTTAGAGATGATAGATCAGGAAATTCCTCCTTTGTTTTATATGCAAGCATAAGGAGATATAACATACAGAAAACTCAAAACCAACTAAGTAATATTTTTTCACAGTAAGTGTGACAGTGTAGCTCATTCCTGTAGGATGTCATTTGAGGCCAAGTAGTTAGTATGGTCTGAGAAATAATGGAAAGCCAAAATTATCTCATGCAGTTATTAATAATCCATGCAGGAAGATATATTAAACCACCTTCTTCAGAGCTGAAGTTAATGTCTGAAGTTTAAAGACCAGAATAGGATCTCTGTGGAGAGGTTACTGGCCCATGGACTATTGCTGATCTGTTTGTTTGGGAGACAGTTCTGCATCCCTTCAGCAGGGTTATGGTACTGGAGTACATGGGTCCCAGGCAAATCCAGTGTGGTGCTGATCCTGTTAGAGTGAATCACTGAGTATTTGCCTTTAATAGAGAACTTGGGCTTGGCCTGGTAGGGCACGTGCATAATGTGCACGTTTTGTACAAGCTATTGCGTTTGCTTATGGTCTGCATGTCTGTATCTGATTACCCTCAGTTGCCTCACAGCATCTTTTATTTTGAAAGTGTAAGAACAAAACCAAATTCTACTTTTACTGTTTTTAAGGATTTGTTAATCTACAATAACCCCAGTCTGAGAGGCACAAAAAAAAAATGTCCCACAAACGTCCCACAGTGTGGGAGCTAATACAGCTACAAGTCCCATAAAGTTCTTAGGCTCTTCAAAATTTTGCCCTCTCCCCTCCTGGAGGGTGTTTGTCTGTTCTCTGCTCACTGGTGATTCTTAATGATAACAGGGTTTTCTTCAATTTACTGTAAATGAAAAGTAGCTCAGCTTACTGGAATCTGAGTCAGCCAAGGCAAGTTAAGGCAAATAAAGAGTACCTCTGCCTCACCAGTGTGGCCTGCCACGGAAAGCTGCTGTGTCTGTGGTCTTTCCGGACTTCCTCACATTGAAGACATTCCTCTTTCTGTTCCCTCTTGCCTCTGCAGTAGTGCACACACACAGGTGTGTGTGTACCTCCTTCCTGCTCTGCTGCTGCAGCCCCTGGGGATTCACAGGGCAAAACCTGCTGCTGCGGCACTGAGTCCTGCAAAGAGCCTTCACTGAGCGCAGGGAGCACGGCTGTGCCAGGCTGGGTTCAGCCACGTTGTGTGCCTCCTGCTGTAATTAGTGGGGAAGGGATAAAGTGTCATTCGCTTGGCATTTTCTTGGTGGTGGTACAGAGTATGTGGAGTTGAAAGGCAGCAGTGGAATAGGTGGAGGGGAGGGAGGGAGCAGGCAGAGAAAACAGACAGGTTTCCTGGGAGCAGGCAAGCACGTTGCCTGCCTGGGAAGCGGGCAGAGCTTGTTATGAGGCTGCATTGTCTCTTGTGGGAATTGGTTGAGGCCTAAACTCAGCCCTGGCAGCAGCAGCTGTACTTTCTGTTCGGAGTTGCTGAGAATGGATCCCAACTAAGATGTCATCCCAGGATGTCGGCAATTAATGCTGTGGCAACGCTGTCTGTTTTCTGTTCAGCCAGGCTTCCCTGTAGGCCATTCAGATTTCCCTGGCAGCACTGTCAAACAATCCCTGTCGGTCTCCAGCTCTGTGCTGATTCTCAGTGCTTTGCTTCTGTTTTAGCAGATATCTCAGAAGAGAATAAAGCTGATTTGAATTTCCTGAGTTGTGGTTACTGCTCTGCGGGTCACACTGCAGTGCTCTGGCTCGTTTAGAAAGGGATCAATGACTTATAAGAGCCTCAGAGCATCCCTCCCACATGCTGAGAGGAAAATGGGACAGAAACATCCTTTCTTTGAGGAAGGAAAAAGCTGAACCTCCTTTGCCCTGGGCTACTCCAACCTCCTGCTCAGGCTGCCCTTTCAAGGGAGGAAGAACAGCCCCTCAGCACAGGCACATCTTTGCTGGCTAAAGATGGGGTAAAGCTCTGCATTGCCCCAGATGAGAGTCTGCACTGGGTAGGGGCTTTTGGGGGTTTTTTTCCCCCTTCAACATCAATACTTGCAAACGTTATAAAACAGGCATGCAAATTTGGCTGCCTTAGGCCAGCTCATTTCCATCAGCCCCCCTTGATCTCCAAGAGATGCCAACAGAGCAGCACTTCTTCCCCTGAGGAAGTGCTCTGCAGACCAGCTGAGATGCAGATGATGAGTCCCTTTCCCCCTCCCCGAGGCTCTGTGCACCGTCCGGAGGACCCGGCTGTGAGAGCAGGAGCCTTGGCTGCAGGGATGGAGAAGCACGTTCCACCAGAGCCCAACAGATTCTTCAAGGCTCTCTGGGCTCTTCTGCTCCCTACTTAAGGGCAAGTTTGGTGCCTCTCCCATGCTTCCCCAATCAGTGGAATTTAAAATAACTGTGCTGACAAGTTAAACATCCCCATGCCAGCTGATTTGAGTCCTCACAGAGCACCAGGGAGGGCTACCAAAGAAGCCACATGCTAAATCTCACTTGGAGCATCATTTGCATATGTAGGATTGGATGTATTTTTGTTTATTTTTCCACAACTTCTGTTTCTGGGTGAAACAATTAATTTTATGTTTAGGATACAACAAAAGAAAATCCCAGCAGATTTAATATTTCTCAGATTTTCCCTTTATGTTTTCATAGAAGCCAGTTTCCCCTGACGCCGGAGGAAGATCTGTCTTTCAGGGAGAGAGGCAGAAGGAAGGCAGTCTCTTGAATGCTGAAGTCTAAGTCAGGACTGCTTTGGTCCTGCCCCCAGCCACAGGCTTCTGTCTCTGCTCTTGCACCAAAGAGCCAGTTTAGGGAGGTGATCAATCTGAAAAAGAAAAAAGAAAAGAAAAAAATAAAATAAAAAAGAAAAGAAAAAAGAAAAAGAGTTGGCTCAAGGGAAGGGGTAGGAGCACATGGAGGAGGATGGGACTGCAGCCATGGCAAATTACATCAGCTTAAACTGCTGTGCAACCACACCCTGAGTGCTTATGCTTATCTTTGAGTTGCTCAAATCCTCTCTTGAATGGTCACAAGAACAGGCAATGCTCTTTCTAGCGCAGTGTGCGCAGCGGGGCAAGGGGAGGAATGTATGTGGGTTTTAGTCTGGAAACTGCTTCTTAGGGAACAGGCTTTGCACAGTGCTGGATGTTCCCACGGTCTCTTGACTCCAGTGGCAAGGTCAAACTGGAGGGTAGTAATAACAAGTGGAGAATCTGCTCCCGTTGTGCACAAAACAGGTGGACAACACAGCTCCACTCTTCCCTCAAAGCTGCAACGTTTCTGTGCTGAAAGCTTATCACCTATTCTGAGGTGACCCAGATGTAAGCAGCGAGATGGACATCTCGTTAGTGCTACTGAGTGGTACACGAAGTGACACCCCTTCTAGAAGAGGGAAGAAGGAGCCTGGTTGATTCAGTGCCAGGGGAGAGGTGACAGCGGTAAGAGCAGCCCTTCCTCGGTGTAGCTCAGCCCTGAGTTTGTTCAGCTCAACATTCCCCCCTTGTGGGACGTTGCTGGAAATTCAGACTAATGCCAGCTTCCCTAGCAGGTAGGTGTCCTGTGGAAGCTTTGGCTGTAGCTTAGGGCAGTCTTGCTGGCAACAGATGCACATGTTCTTGAGAAAATGCCTGGTGTCTGAGAGCATCCAGCTGCTTGTGGTTGGTGTGCGACACCTTCCGATACACAAAGGGTGGTTACGTGCTTAGAAAGTCCAACTTGCAAGGGAGGAAGTTTGTGTATTTTGCTGATAGAGAAAGCTACGCAAAAGCTTTGACATTGTGAACAGACCTGTGTCTCCTTGCACATTTGTCCTTTACTGAACACCCCAGCACACTAAAAAGCAGTGATTGTCTGGGCAGTTTGCAAATGATGAACTCTCGCAAATGAGTCTCTCTGTGACCTGTTTTCATTGTCGGACTCCTCCGTAAGCTTGGAAAAAGAACTTAAGTTTAGTTGTTCGAGGGTTTGTTACCATTGACATTTAACAGGTAGACTGACAAGCTGTGCTTAATACAGGGGTGTAGAATGTAGTGTTGTAAATACTTTGAGTTAGTGTAAACCGGAGCTAACACTGAAAGAAGCAGCCCTGCGCACCCCAGGCCGTTGATTTCCACCTCTCTAAGTCCCTGCTGTGTGCCTGCCCACGGCTTGTAGTGCAATAGTGGGGAAGGGGTAGGAGTTCAGACCAGCCTGCTATGGAAAAGGTTTGCCCCATTTCAGACCAGCTCCCTGATTTGGCTCAGTGTGCAGTCACTGTTAGCTGAGACATCAAAGCACAGGGGCAGAGAGTGGAAACTGGCCACAAAGGGGGGATATGCAGGAGCTGCTGAAGGTTGGGTTGAGCCAGGGTGGGTTCCAGCTCAGGTTCCATCTACACCCTAAAAAGTCTTGGGGTTTTGGATCTTTTCAAGCAGGAGAGAGTTGACAAGGGGATTGAAACAGATGGCTCCAACCTGAGTGGAGTGAGTGCCAAATGTGCCTGGGATGATCTCAGCCGGCCCCCAGAGGATGAGGAAGACAGCAGGAGCATTTGCATTGGGACCCAGCCGCGGCGGCTCTCTGGAAAAGGTAAGAGGTCCTGGGCCCAGTTGCTGTCATGGCCTTTTGACTTGTTATCTGATGGATCTGGCAGTGGGCTGAGTCATGCAGCATCATGGGGTTCATAAAAACACAGTTACTGGAAGGCTCAGCACGTCTGAGAGGAGTTAAACGAATTTTGATGTGGCCTCTTTGAAGAAGGCAGGAGAGAGGAAAGGAGATCTTTTCATTGCTTTGTCTAAATGTTTCTTACAGTTTTTAGGCTATTTTTAATCTAAATCTGCAAAGTTAAACTGAGCACTGGGTGAAACTAGGACTGTAAACACCTACAGGGTGAAGCAACTGCATTTTCCCAGGCTGTGTTTCCTTATTAACATTGTCACTTCTTGGGTGGCAAGTTGGACTGACACTGCATGTTGCTGTAGCTGAACTCAAGTGGTTCTTATAAATACGGAACTCTGGAAAGAAGAAATAAAATACAGTGGAGTTCCCCTTTGCAGTGAGATGCCATCTCAGGATACAGCTGTCATAGCCATTACACATGCTTGAAATTATGCATGTTACCTTTCAAATGGGTGAAGCAACGTAAAATATGAGGGCTTGAGATTTCCTGGAATTAACAGTGGTTTCCACAGGAATGGTATCTTACTTGTTTTTAAGTCCGTGGTAAAAACAAACAAACAAACAAATATATATATTTAAATGCATATGGCATTCCTTCTGGCTTCTGTGCAAATATTTTGAACTGCAGTGGATCTAAAAAGGCTATTTTTCCCTCAGCTCTGCAAATGAAAAGCCCAAGACAGGTATACAAGGTGATATTTGTATATTCTTCAAAAGATTTTGAAATAATTTGGGTATTTTTTTCTGTACTCTATTCCTTCATTTCTCAAAAAAAATGATGAGGAAACTTCTAAGAAAGGTAGGAAAACATCCTATTAAAGTATTTGGCCATTAGACATTATAGGAAAATGAGAAAGTAAAAAGGCTGCATCGGAACTGTGTAATTTGCAGTGTATTTTCAAATGTGAGCCTGAGGCTGAAGTTTGCCCTGCGTAATATTTTTTCTTTTGTGAATCTTGTTGTAAATTAAGATTTTCAAAGACAATTGCAAAAACTGAAGAACTTCCTTGCACTCATTCGGTAAAGAAACAAATTCCTGTTATGCCTAATGGGAAAAGTGACTTCCAGCGCAAAGGCTGAAAGTGTCAGGAGGTTCCCTGAGAGCTGCAGAAACAGCAAACACCTCATTTATGAAAGGATACAAAACTACTCAGAATTCCTTCATCAGGAGGGCTCAGTACCAAAGCTTCCAGCTCTCCTTGCCTGACATAACATCTCAGCCCAAACCAAGAGAATTCAAAGCTGAGTTTACGAAGTGAAATAACTCCTAAGGTGCAGGAAGAGATGTTATGAATTCACATTTAGCATCTCTTCATTTCTTTCTGAAGGGCAAGAGTTTAGATGAAACGCGCTATAGAAACAGACCTTTAAAAAACCCTGACATCTCCTTGTGTCTGTGATGTTTCTGGGAACGCTAAATCACATTTAAAAAAATTCTCTTTGCAGATACGGAGCAAATCAGGGAGACTTTGCGGAGAGGGCTTGAGATTAACAGCAAACCGGTTCTACCTCCGATAAATGCACAAAGACAGAATGGGCTGAACCACGACCGAGCACCGTAAGTTTCACCTGCATGCCCAGGTGGTGGGAGGAGCGAGGCAAGAGCTCAGCGTGGCAAACTGAGTTAAAGCTGGATGAGAAAAGACTTGGCAAGGAGAGAGGAAGGCTAGCAGCAAATACTTGTAAAGTTCAAGGATAGAGGGAGAAGAGTTGTTCGGGTTGGGTTAATGGGCTAGTACTCAGAAGGGCAGATTTTGAGAGGGGTTTTGGACAAACCTTGCTAATGCAGAGTGGCTCTGTGTTCTGTAGAACCTGCTGTTCACAGTGTACAGTGTTAGAAATCAGACTGGACTGAGCCCTATAAATGTACTGTGGTGAATGATGCTATGGTATAAGAGCTAGGTGGCATAGATGAGTGTTGGCTGATATTTTTACCTGAGCATTTTGTTTTCAAGCTCATAATTACAAACCTTTAGGTTAAAATGTTGGGGTTTGTTTTTTTTTTAAATGACTTTGATCTTGCCTTGCAGGCAGGTACTGACAGTAATTACATCTGAATACCACCCTGCTCTCTAATAGTCTGTAGACTAACAGGTGATTTAAATGGGACTAGGTGGGCCTGAGATCTCTCCTCATTTATAACTTTTTACTTCAGTGTACCTATAGAAAATTACCTGTGGTTTCAAGCCATCTGCACTTCCACCTTTTGGGGTTTCTTCCCTTCCCCCCTTAGGCTTATTTCAGTTGCTAGTTAAATGTCTTCCCATCAATTTTAATGTTTTCATCTAAATGATACAGAAAGGCATGTGTCTTTGCACTTCTTCATCTTGGTACTTCCTTTGGTTTCCTAGTGTAGGATGAACATTTGTGCTTTCTTGTTCCAAGAGTAAAGATCGTCATGAAATAAGCTCTTTCCTGTAGTGCCACACAGGGACAGCATCCTGCTCTGTTTCAATTCCTGTTTCTTCTTTGATCCAAGCATTTCATGAGAAAAATATTCTTTGTGCTTGGTTAGGACCCCAATGTCCTTTCTTGTTCCCTTTTGTGACTTCTGATTTGCCTTACATAGGAATGTTTCAGAGTTGCCTAATCCTTTGGGGAAGTATTATGTCAATTGATGATGCTATGCACTAATGAGTAATATGAGATATTGGTGCTTATATAAAAAACAAATCATAAGTGGCTTTATTATTGCTTTATGAATAATTTTACTTTCGCTATATAGTAATTGTATGGAGCCATATTCTGACCCTACTCAGATTTTGAGTAGTACTTCCCTGCCTGAAGGTTGGTCCCATTGGACCTTTGGTTGGTCCTGTTGGCCCAACTCAAAAAATAAAATGATACCATATGATTTGCACAATCACACCCAGCCTTGGGAGGCTCAAAACTGTTGAACAGGATTTCTCACAGTTGCTGGGCTCCTGTATTCATCTGCACGCCCAGTAAAAGCTCTTGAGTTCACAGTGGTTGGGGATGACCAGAAACACTGGGGTACACATCAGGTCAGGGAGGCAGCTGATGGGTAAACCTTTAATGCTGGGAGGCAGTTGTTGCTTAGATAAGAAAGCTTTATGTTATTCAGAGTAAGATAAACAGAGATAGGCTCAAGACAGAGTGGTGAAAGGTTAGCAGAGGTCTAAGATGAAGCACACAAATATTTACCTGGGTTTTTAACTGTTCTGAGACAGAGAGGAAGGCAGGTCAAATTCAGAGCCTCATATCTGTGACAGTGCTCTTTACAGTGCTCTTTTACCTGTAGCAGCTGCACACCCACCTACCTGAAGCCTGAGTGGTAGGAATGGCTGATTCCCAGTGTTTGCCTCCTAGAAGATCAATACATTTCTCTGAGGACTATAGTTACCACTGTGGAAACTGATAGCTAGCCTATTTCTCCATAATAGCAATTCAGCTAAGGAAAGAGAGCTATCAGCTCTGTGTCTTACTAGCGGTTACTCTGGTGATAGTAGCAGAGGGATAGAGGAGATCTCAACTTAAAACAGCAGTGTGTCTTTTTCTACTTGTGCAGTGGCCTCTCTTCTCCAATTCATGTAGCAGATACAGTGGGATTTGTTCAATGCATTGACCACACTGAAAGGGGTGGTTTGTGCTGGAAAGCAGTGTTTACTCACAACCTCTAACTAACTGGTACTTAAATCCAACCCGATGATTACCCTTCTGTCTTATCAGGCAACATATTTTCCATCACAGTGTGGTATAGATGAAGCAGAAGAGGAAGATCTTATTAGGTCTCAGCCTTTCTTAATATACTGTCTCAGCATGTCTTACGCATTTGAGCAAAGTTGCTCAACATGCTATTAAGTACATGAGCATGATCTGGAGACTCTCATCTCCAGCTGCTGCAGAAGGATGTAACTTTGGAGTTCAGCTTTTGCATGTAGTAATATATCTGCATCCGTGTTCCCTACAGGTACTGGCAGTGGCAAAGGCTGAGACACGAAAGGCACCAAACACGGTGCAGATATAGTCATTTCATAAGACTCAGAAGGACCTGAGATGAAGGACAGCTCTGCTCATAGATCTAGTCCTTCTGGTGTGATCCTTGCTTGGGCCTGGTAGGACTGGGACTCAGTTCTGTCCTTCACTGTAAATCTTGTGTAATCAAAGGCAAGTCATGTAGCTATTGAGCTTCAGTTCTGAATCTATAAAATGGGACTAATAACAATGTCATCTTCTTGAGGCACCACAAGGATAAATATGTTAATGATTGTGAGGTGCTGGCTGATGGGAAGCAGGCTTGTGTGTAATCATATCCTGCACTGTACACACCAGACCATAAAATATCAAACCCATGGTTCGTTGCAAGGGTCCTGTGAATAACTGGTGCATTAGAGGCTCCTCAGGAACTTGACAGAACTGCTGTGTTGTGGCATGGCAAATTGTTCCAAATCTACTTTCCATAGGGAGCACTGCAGAACCCCAGGCTGTCAAATTTGCACCCAGCTGATATTAGGATGTAAAAGTCTGACACAGACTCTAATGGCTTCGTGCAGAAGAGGAATGTGCTGTTTATTTATCATAGATTTGCAGCCACCAACTGCTTTCCTAGTAGCTTTCTTCCCTTTCTTTTATCCTAACCCTGCCACCCACACACAATAATCTATCAGGGTTTAAAGCAGACAACCTGTTCTGCATTCAGTGTCACGAAGTATGATCAGAAACACTCAAACTTTCAAATATTTATTTGTATGAAATGTGGAGGATCCAGATTCTGTACAAATTTCCCTGTCTTTGTGTAGTTACAGTTTTCGGCGCTTATGCAAAAGCCTCACATTGTTTGGTTGCAGATAGGGCTTGATTCAGTGTTCTGGCTCCAGCAAAGCACATACTTACATGTTAAGCATGCATATTACCAGTTGTTCACTGTCCCAGAGTCCTAAAAAAAAGTTCCTTTCAGAAAAAGCTGTTTTCTGTCAAAACCCTGTTGGGCAGCTGTAGTCCTTTGATTCATTAGTGTTATTACTGTAGACTGTATAGCCCTTTTTCTCTTAAGGATATGAATAAAAGCACCCTTAATACTTAAAACTGCGTTGGACATCTGTTTCTCAAAATGACTTGTTAGCTCAGTTCATAAGCAGCCATTAAATCAGTTTGTATGCATTAAACAAAAGAACATATAAATTAATCTTTGGAAACACGACTAACCATTTTGACCGTAGGTAACATAATACTCTTGATTACTGCTTGGAAAAATGATGCATTTATGAATACAAATGTACTTTACAGTGGCACTTTATTTATTTCTTAGGACCCATCAGCTTGGTAGGTGCTGTTCAGACAGACAGAAAGGCAAGGCTCCTGGTCTCCTGAGCTGTGCAGATGCTCTCTTGTTGGATACGGTGAGCTCTTACCAATGAGGAACATTTAGATGTCAGACTAAACATTGCTCCTGTTAAGACTTCAGTGGGCTGGAAGCTCCAGATGTCAAAGATCAGTGACACTTGTGGAGTCTTGCTTCATTTGCTATCTCATTTCTTGATGTAATAACTTCTGGGGCCAAGTCTTTAATTGTCCCTGGCAATTATTAGCTCTGTGCTCTCCTGTGAAGTAGGTGAGTAGTATCTCCACTTTATAGATGAGGACAGAGGAGTTAATTTGCCACAGTTGCAGTGAGAGCCAAGGTTGGGATAGGGGAATTCTTGACCTTTTCCACCTCTCAAGGGTCCCCTTGATCATGCAGTGTTGCTGAAAGTGATGTTTTTCTGCCCCTTGGCTGACTCAGACTGCTCTACTGTTCCTGTCAGCTGAGGCATGGAGGTAGCACGCTGCATTACTGCACATGTTGAGGCTGAAATTATCATTAATTGCTATGTTTCATTGTGCCACCATTCAAGTAATGCCCACACGCATCCCCAGTGTCTGAAGGTGAGGCTTGAGTGGTGGAAGAAGGTCTCCCAAGGCTGTGTTACTTTGACAAAACCCAAGGCTTTTCCAGCATCTCTCTACTGTTTATCACTCTCCCTCTTCTCAGGAAGGATGAAGTGGTGTGGTTCAACATGCCTGATTTCCATATTTCTGTCTGATCCCCTCATGCACAGCGGTCATTTGTCCAGGGACCCACAACAGATGCCCCAGAGACCTCAAATCCCATCTGCATTCAATTTCCAGGCAGAAAGACAGGTTGAGTCTAGGGAAATCAGAACATATGGTAGCTCTGTGCCCATGTGCTAATTCCATCCAGCCCTGAACAGTTTCCAGCTGTGCAGGGAAATGAAGGCAGGTTCCTGGCAAACAGAGCAGGGAACAACCCTCCGGCAGGTAGGACTGTCCTGGCTGTGACCTGGTGTACTGCGCCCTGAGCATCTCAGGTTGTTGCTCTTCCCTTGTGGGAACAGGGAGGAGTTGTGTCACTCCAGAAGTCCTCCCAGAATAACCCCAAACTGTCCCCAGACTGTGCCGGGGTTGGAGCACAACAGTGGCACCACTTGCAGGACTGGAGTCCACTGCCCATGTAGTTCCTCTGAGTCGGTAAATAGGGCGTGCTGGTTTCTCCTTTCAATGAGTAGCATTGGGTTAATGCACATTAATAAGCTCCAT